GAGAGAGATCGAGATAGATAGATAGAGAGAGAGAGAGATAGAGATAGAGAGAGAGAGAGAGAGAGAGAGAGGGGGGAGAGCGATGCAGCGATGGAGAGGGTTATGGGAAAGCGGTCACTGGTAGAGAGGAGTGAAGGAGAAAGGAAGAGAGGTTATGTAGTCATGGCTCCTGAGGGAGAAGGGTGTTTAACCTCACTAGAAAGCGCATATAGTAGGAATCGTTCATCCCGTTTGTTATATCGGATGACCTGAATTCAGGGCGACGTCTGTTGACCCCCCGATTAATCACTACCCCCCCCCCACACATTTCATTTGGAGAAGGCTAGCGAGACGGCCCTGCCTTCCTTCCTTTTACTTCCTCTTCTTTAAAAGAGAAGGAGGTACTGAGATAAGACTGTTCGTCGTGGGGTCACCTCTCTCTCTCTCTCCCTTTCCGCCGCGCTCGCTTCCTTCTCCGCCCTCCATTTCGGTGAGACAGCGTCCAAACACTCTCCCATTGTGCGGAGAGAGAGAGGCAGAGAGAGAGAGGCAAAGTGCACTAATGGCTTCATCATGGTTTCGGCTTCGTTGTCCGGTATTGTGCGGCTGCTGCAGCCTCCGTCTCGCTGCAGGCTCCGTCCGCAGCAGCAGCAGCTGCAGCCAGCATTGATCAAGCGGAGGCAGAGAATTAAAGTTTGCGGCCGCAGCCTGATTGGAAGCGAAAACGTTTTTCAGTCGCCGCCTTCGCCGCAAATTGTTTAAGCCTAATTGGAAAGGAAGGCGTGAAAGGCACGAGAGAGAGCGAGAAAGAGGGGAAGAGAGAGAGATTGAGAGAGAGGGCGCGAGGGCGAGAGAAAGGGGAGCGGGGGGAGGAGAGAGAGGGGAGCAAAGGAGAGCGAGGGAGAAAGAGAGAGAGAGAGATAGAGGGGAGCGAGAGAGAGAGAGAGGGGGGAGCGAGGGAGAGAGATGGGGCATGGGAGAGAGAGGAGGAGCGAGGGAGAGAGAGAGAGGCGGGAGCGAGGGAGAGAAACAGAGGAAGAGAGAGAGAGAGAGAGATAGTGGCGGCGACGCTGCTGTGTCTGTCGTATGGCTTCGCGATTCATAATGTCTCAGGCGCAGAGGGATGCTGGGATGCTGGGATGCTAAGATGCATGGCTGCGGGGATGCTGGGATGCAGGGATGCTATGTTGCTAGGATGCAGGGATGCTATGTTGCTGGGATGCAGGTATACTATGTTGCTGGGATGCAGGGATGCTATGTTGCTGGGATGCAGGGATGCTATGTTGCTGGGATGCAGGGATGCTATGTTGCTGGGATGCAGGGATGCTATGTTGCTGGGATGCAGGGATGCAGGGATGCTATGTTGCTGGGATGCAGGGATGCAGTGATTGTGACAGTGATAAGGAGTTAAGCGGGTTACCGGCAGAGTGTAGTCTGTGTCTCCTCACGAATTAGGGCAGCATGCGGGAGGGATGCTTTCTAGCGGGTACGAGGTGATAAGGAGAGATGTCGGGAGCTCCTCTCCTCCCTCTCCATGCCCTCTCTCGCGCTCTCCCTCTACTAGCCCTCTCTCGCGCTCTCCCTCTACCAGCCCTCTCTCGCGCTCTCCCTCTCCCAACTCTCTCTCGCACGCTCTCTCCCAGCCCTCCCTCGCGCTCCCTCTCCCAACCATCGCTCTCCCTTTCTATCTCCCAACCATCTCTCGCGCTTTCTTTTCCTCTTTCTCCCCCAACCGTTTCTCTCTGTCTCTCTATCTCCCAACCGTCTCTCTTTCCCTCTCCCAACCATCTCTCGCTCTCTCTCTCTCTCTCTCTCTCTCTCTCTCTCTCTCTC